AAGTATAAAGCACTGAGAAACCTTACAGTACAGAAAATAGCATTCAGAAAGGTCAGTGCTAGGCAAAGCAGGTAGCTGACGTGATTGCCACTGATGTGGACATTGAGGTCATCTTGACCTTTTGAAGGCTGAGTTATAAACTGTTTGAAACTTCATAAGCCAAAGGGATATTTCCTTGTAGCCTTCAGGCTGTTGTGAAGTACCTTGCAGCCTTTATCAACCTTACAGTACAGAAAATAGCATTCAGAAAGGTCAGTGCTAGGCAAAGCAGGTAGCTGACGTGATTGCCACTGATGTGGACATTGAGGTCATCTTGACCTTTTGAAGGCTGAGTTATAAACTGTTTGAAACTTCATAAGCCAAAGGGATATTTCCTTGTAGCCTTCAGGCTGTTGTGAAGTACCTTGCAGCCTTTATCTCCAGGCCAGGCATTTACCACAGCTGGGGATAAATGTCATGGCTGTATTGTCATTCCTACTTAACTCTGTCAAAGCTCTGGCTTGGGAAGTTCTTAGTGAGCCTGTTCTGTCTTTCTAAGGAGCTCTCTGATTTCAACTTCAGCATGTTATTTCTTGAATGGCTTTTGTCTGACAAATGAAGATTTTTCTTTGTAAGGAACTTGCTGTGTAGCTACAATGTTTCTGAGATGGACAAAAGTGATCTATTTTATCTTCTTGTTTGACCAATATAATCCTTTTATTAAATGAGGGAGTATAAGTGAATGAAATATCAGTATACAAAGATGAGTAACTATCACATTGAATGTTTTCTGAAGCATTTGTCTTCCTTTACCCATGGAAAAACAATACTGTGGGGTAACATTGCTCACTTACGAACAGCCTTCTAAAATTTAAGTATGTTTTGCTTCTAGGAGATTGATGAGTACATCGTCCAAGCCAAGGAAAGAGGCTATGAGACCATGGTGAATTTTGGAAAGCAAGGGTTGAATTTGGCAGCAACTGCTGCAGTGACAGCAGCTGTAAAGGTAATTTTCTGCTTGTATTAATTGCTTTGGACCTTAGTCTAGAACAGAGTAATGGTACTGAGGATTTGCCATTCCTAAACAAAAAAGATTAATTCTGCAAATGGTTTGAAAACCTGGAATGCAATTAAAGGCTTGCAGCCCTCTGCTGCTCCTCATGCTGTGTATGCTTGGTTAGGACAGCTTGTAGTTAGTTCTTGGATGATAGGGATCAGCTTAATTCAAAAGGTGCCATGCACTTCCCTGTGCAGGCTTTGGGTAAAGATGACCATTGTTTCTTTTCTGTCTCTGTTGTGCTGTCTTGTTGGTAAACAAACTGTTTAAAGGATTTCTGGGTTTTCTGCTGGTTTTCTCCAATCAACTTGAGGTAACTCCACATAGGAAGTAAGGCATGAGACTACTACCATGGATACAAGTTATCTTGACACAATTAACTTGTTTGCAACTTGAGTGAATTATGAAATTAATACACTAAGCATAGCTTGCATATTGCTGTTTAGCATACACTTGCTTGGTCATATACTGTCCATTAAACCATGAAGTAGCCTGTGGTTGTTCTCAGATTACCTTCCTACACACACTCATCACATTCAGTTGTATTTGAGAGGGTTCTAGGTCTAGGAAAACAAGATACAAGCTTCTAAGTAGGATTCCAAGCAATTTGTGCCCCACTAAAGGGAGTACAACTTCAGACAATGTGTATCCTACCTGATAGTAATTTAAACCAAAGCACAAAAAAAAGTATGGAATGAAAGAGGTATATGTCCAAGTTAAATGATAGTTTTAAGGCAATCCAGATTAATTTCTTCCTGGGAATAAATGTAACTGCTGCATCCTTGGTAAGAGGACTGAAAACCTGAGCACTGTTAGTAGATGGCAGAAAGCAGTGTTTGAGATCCCTGGTTGGCAAAGTTGAGCAGGTACAGCTGACATTTCCCTTAAATTTCTGTGCTTCTGTGTGAACTTCTTGTGTTAGAAATCAAAGATATTTCTAAAAACTACACTGTCAAATGCGATCTGAAAAAGGTCTGGAAAAAGAGTTGTGCATATCTTCATTTTCTCTCTTTTTAAAGAGATATGTGGGTGGTGGCATAATAGCTTTTTTTGTTTTCAAATATGGTCATAATGAGCCTAAAATACTGAAAATGTGATTAAATTTGCTCACTGGTGTCTTTTGGGTTTTTTTGTGTTAATCAGATTTTTACTGTTGTCTTGAGACATGAAATAACTGAGAGTGAAATGGAGTGCAGCTCTAAAGAAGTGAAAGTATCCAAAGTAAAATAGGTTATTTAAACAAACCAAACAAACAAAACTCCAAAGTGCTCTCCTGGGAAAAAGTTTGAGAACTGTGCTAAATGCTAAACTGCAAAAGCTTTGCCAAACAGAAAATCCTAATTTATTACATTGTGCACCTGTAAGGATACTTATGCTCTGTGTGTTCCTAATGTTTGGCTACAGTTGGATATTCCCTTATGGTGTTAAAATAAGTAACACAAATATCTCCTCCAGCTTTGTTCAGAAATAATGACTATCTCTTTGGGGACTGTCTGTGTTTGGGTGTCATTGCTGTTCAGCTGTGACTGGCAAGATTCCTGCTCTGTTTGTTAAAACTTGTTAAACACACTCAGGAATACTTGTGCAGGATTAGTTCAGTACAGATGAAATGCTTGGGAAAAACAGCCACCACAATACCAAAGACTTAAAATACACTGGATTTTTAAACAGTATGAAAGAGGAGACTCTCTGAAAGTTTTTATTTTGGCATGCTAAGCCTCCTGAGTTTGCCATTCCAAAAAGCTGAGCGTGCTCCATGCAAGCAAGTGGGGACAAGGCATGTGTTCTTGATTTACTTCCCTGTTTTGCAAGAGTTGACTGCTGCCTCCAGCAGGTGAAAAGATGATCCCTTCAGCATGAGCTGGTGGAGCTATAGGATTTCAGCAATGGAGTCAAATTAGAGGGATCTGTTCTGATGGGAAGGAGGACACACTTTCATCACTGTTTTTTTTACCTTTTTTTGTAAAGAGCAGGTGGGCTTGTTCTGGTATATCAGATCTCAAATTAGGAGTAGAGAGTGTGGGAGATTAAAGTTAAGAGGTATGTAAAAAGACACTAAACTGTCCAGGCAAATTTCTTGTGCTGACTTTAGGAGGGTGGTGAAAATTGCTTGGGAACTTGATGAAGTATTTTCAAGATCAAATGTGGGAGAGTGATTTTTCTCCAAGGTCTGTCAAAGGAATAGGGGATTACCATTAAAAGGCTACTTGGCTCTTTCATGGAGGCTGGAGCAGCCAGCCAGGTCAGTCCTCTGAAATTTGACTGAGATTTAAACCTGCTCCACTGTGGTTACATGGAGATGTATTTGGCACGAGTAGTGGTTTATGGCTTATATTCCCATACTAATATTTTTAGTTGGTACTAGTTAGCCAGTGCCCATATAAAATTTAGCATTTCAAAACCTACCTAATAGCATACATTAGCAAAATAAATTGTGTTAAATTAACAAGGCAGAAAACAAACCTGTGTAAAATCCTGATTTCAGGAGACTTGGAGATGCAATATGGTCTAGGCTGACTTTTACAATTTGCTAATAAAAATTTCCTTTGGTATATAAAAATACTGGAAACAAGATGCATTTAATGACAGCAAAGTTATTGGAGCTCTTTCAGCTCAATTGTATATGGATTTGAGGAATTGATGTCTACAACACTAATTTCTATGGGTATGTCTTGTGTTTTGATGCATCTCCTTTGCAGGAGGTGCTAGTTGCCTGTACTATTTCCAATTTCTGCCAACCCATAAATTCTGAGTTCTCAAACTGCTACAAAAACCTGGTTTCTTCATCACTGTGAGTGGGATGGCTGCTCATTAAGCTATGAAATGCTCTGACCCTCTTTGAGGTCACACAACCAGTGTTCATTTGTAAAGTATTGGTGGTGATGATAATATATTTTGAGGGCTGTGTTTCTTGAATGCATTTTAGCCATCCTGAATCTGCTGCCTTTTTGCTGGTTGAATATATTCTCATGGCCTTGCTCAGACTTCCCCTTCTTCCCACTGAGGGCATGGCAGAGGAAGGAGGGATCTTGCAGCCAGCTGTGGCATACAGCCAGTCTCACTATGAGAAGCAATATTGCTTTCATCCTCCTCCCTGCTGGGACTGACTGGCATACTGCAGAGGTCATTCACAGGACAGCAGTCCCTCTCCAGGTTGAGAGGGAACAGAAGTCATTCCCTGTCAGCTTGGATTGGATCAGGGAGAGGGCAGCTGAGAATGTGAGTGCTGCACACTGCAGCTCTGCGGCCACGGAGCTCCAGGCAGCTCTCTGGATACAGAGTCCATTGAGGACTTGTCTGTGGAAGGCAAACAGGTTCAGTCAGTGATCCTGAGCACTGAGGGGGTAAAAGTCCAACTTAAACAACAGAGTCCCTGAGGCACACACGGCGAGGTGTCTGTTTACAGCAGCTTGCCTGGGTTAAATATATAGACTATAAAAACACATGCTCAATAACAGAATAGAGAATGGCATTTCATATATGAGGGTCAGCTGATGAGACTGCATGCTAACAGATTACTAAAGGCTGAGTAGTTTCAAAAGGAGACTCTTGAGTAGGCTATATTTATAAAAAAAAGTGGATTTAGAAACCTATTGCAGCTTTAAGTAGTGTTTCACATTGATCACTGCCAATGAATGTTTTAGGAAAGGCTATTAAATAACTAAGCAAGATCATTCTTTAAGAGTTGCATTTTGTTTAAGACAAGGCAAGCCTCACAGCTGATCTCTCTTAACATTCACTTACATAGGAATGTGAGCACTGAAATTGTTCTGTGATTTTGTTGCTGGCATTGTGATTGTAAATGTGTGTGTCTCTATCTTTTGTGCTGTGATTTAGTTGGCAGCCTCTGGGCTGGATGCAGACCCCTGTATTTCTTCCTTACTGCATGGAACTCTTTAAATAATGGGCCACCAGTGCAGGAATGATAACTGCCCTACCATCTACTGAGCAGCATCTTGGGGTGTGTTTCTGGGGAGAGGTGGTGACTGCAGCCATATCCATGGCATGAGAGTGGAAGCAGGAGATCTCTCTTCAGCTCCAGCTGCAATTGGATTGCTCTGCCTTTTGTTTTGTGGGCAAACATGTTGCTTTCAAGCTGTGTCTAGTAACTCTGAACTTTCCAACAAGATATCAAAGCTCTTATAGCGTTAATATTCTAAATGTGAATGTTACTCTCACATTTCCTGCAGTAAAGGGTATTTAATCTCACATTTCCTGCAGGAGGAAGGAATTTAATATTTTTCAGCCAGACTTTCATTCTGAGCTGAGAGTAATCCAGATCCTCACAGAATGCTTTGTTTCAGCAGAAAGCAATTATCTGCTGCTTTTGGGCATGGGGATGGTAGAATCTTCTTAAGTCTTAAATGCAGTGTGAGCACAGTCATGTAGTGGGTTTTTTTATAATAAAAAAAGCCCCAGACCCACACAAAACACCTTGAAATTTTTCCTTCAATTGGTCTTTGCAGTGGTGTGACATAGAAATCAATCCTTACTTGTCTAGACTGGATTTTTCTAGGGGTGGGATGGAGCCTGGGGGGACTGCAGGGAGTATCTGTGTAGGATTAGTACCATGTGTGAGCATGACTGTCCAGCCCAGCCCTGGCTGTGCAGCTCCCGTTCCTACTGTGACTCTCAGGCATGTGTGCTGCATCTCTTGTTTGTGCATATATCCTTTGAAACTGCTTAATGCTCGCTGTGTGTAACATGAGTAAAACTTTCCATCTTGGCAAGTAGTTTTGGAGTGAAGGGCCCTTTGTACGAATCCGTTCCATCCTCCCTGAACGAGGCATTGCTCCACAGGAGCTCCAGCCTCATCGAGTCTGCAGTTTGGTTAAGGGCACACTGTTATTTTATGGCATGTAGTTGACTTTTTTCCCCCATCTGTAAAACAAAATTCCATATCCAAAAGATGCACTGGAAAATAAGGTTGAATGTTTTCAGCATGGGCTTAGTTCTCTGTCTACAGAGGAGTAAAAAATACAAGCTTGTAATGTGAATTCTCCTTAGCATACTAGTTGTTATATACAAGATATATACAAGTTGTTATATACAAGATAATTACATTATCTTGTGCAATTTCCAGGTGTCTCTTTGTAGTGCATCACATGATGAAGGAACATGCTGTGCAACACTTAAGCAAGTGTGTCTTTTTATACCTCTGCTTCGGGCCAAGTCCAGTCTCTCTCACTATTGTAAAGTAAAATCTGTTCACACTTGGTGAGTGGAGTTGTGCTGAATTTGTGTGGATTCTGCTGAGAACCAACTGGGTCCATTTTATGTGGTGTTCAGTGATGGAGACTTCAGTCCTGTTGCTTCTCTTTAAGTGGTGGACAGACTTAACAACTGCCTCACTAACTGCCTGTGCTACAGCAGCTACTGTAGGCTGTTACCTGTCAGAAGGAGCAGTGCTCTCTCCTCTTCTCCATGTCCTAGCAGCTGGCTGGAAGTTTTTAGGCATAGCTGGTTCCTGATTTGGTTTACTTGAAACACTTCTCACTGCTGGAAGTGGAGTAGTGGAAGGACAGGAATCCTCCTACCTTAGGGCAGGACAGACCTTCCTTAAATAAACCATATTGGGGAATAAAATAACTTCAGAATTTCTACAGTCTTTTATACAGAGACTGTGTGTGTCCATAGTGCATTTTAACTCAAAGGTAAGAGGTAATTATATTTCTGAGAACTGTCAGTCATCCTACAAGTATGTTGGAAGAGCCAGAAAAGTAAAGGCTTCTACTACTGGAGAAGAGGAGGCTCAGGGGAGACCTTATTACTCTCCACAACTCCCTGACAGGAGGTTGGAGTCAGGTGGGGGTTGGTCTCTTCTCCCAGGCAACCAGCAGCAGGACAAGAGGGCACAGACTCAAGCTCTGCCAGGGGAGGGTTAGGTTGGATATTTGGAAGAGATTTTTTCCAGAGAGAGTGATCAGACATTGGAATGTGCTGCCCAGGGAGGTGGTGGATTCACCATCCCTGGAGGTTTTCAAGGTGAGACTGGATGTGGCACTTAGTGCCATGGCCTAGTAGCCAGGGTAGGGTTGGACTCGATCTTGGAGGTCTTTTCCAACCCAGCTGATTCTGTGGTTCTACGATACTTATGAGAAACCTTTTTTTGTTGTTTAATGGCAATGTTTGAACAGTGGTGTAACAATTGTAATAGGCTCTTCTTGCTTGACTAGCACACTGTCTTAGTCTGACATGACTAGTCATTAGAAAATCAATATTAGGCCTCAGCCACTTTCCCTTCTGCCTTTTGGTAGCCTTGCAAGCTGAAGGAGTGTAACTCTACTGTCTCTTCACTTTACGTTGCTATTTTTAATGTGAAATAATTTAGTGTGCCAGTCTACCATGTGTGAATGGTTGTCATGAGAGTGGGAACAAATGGCTGTGGCCACTGGTGCAGGAACTGCCTTATGCTGGTGCTATTGCAGAGAAAAATCTGTGGGTTTGCACTCAGATTTGTGCTACTACTAGATAGTATAATACTTCAGTGAGCCATTTTACTTAAAAACTTCATTTTTAAGTCTAAAAGTCTGGAACACTTGCCTGAAGTGGGATTTGTGGATGGGCCTGTCAGCCTTTCCCTGACATGGTTATTTTTTGCCTCATGCCAGAGAGGGAAGAATTAAACGTTCTTTTAACATGACTTTGAATATTTGTTCTCGTGTGCCGCTTCTTTCAGTTGCATATGCAATAAATTAATCTTCAATGCTTTAAAAGTAACACCATCTGATGTAAGGTGAAAGAGCTTCTTGATGACTCTTCTTTCCATTGGGGAACTTTCTGTATGCCCCATACAGAAACTGTGTAAAGACAGTTGGAGAAGGAATATCAGTGTTCACATGTGATCAAATATTCTGACATGCAGCGTTAGATTTTGGGTTGGTTTTCTGTCAGCAAAGCTGCATTAGTAAGAGGACCTGCTGGCCTGTACTCCAGGCAGGACCTCTTTGGTTTGTGCTTTCAAGTTTCTGTCAAGGAGCTGCTTTTGTAGTGCTGCCAGTTTCTCAGTTACTTCAGTTAGTGTATTTGTAATGCTTTTTTCCCATTTCTTATGCATATTCAAATTTGTAGAGAGTGAAATATAAAATAGCAGAAAGCTATCTTCAACCATACTTTTTAAAATGGAAGTGTTAAACTCACTGTCATGCTGCCTAGAACTGCTAGAGAAATGCCACGTTTGAAGTGAATGGAACATCTGATGTGTGTTTCTTTTAAACACTTCCCCTCGCTCAAAAATCTTTCATTTGCTCAGATTAAAGGAATGAAATGGACATTTGTAATGAAATGCTTATGTGTAACTTTTTCATCCAGGAGCAAGAGGCAGTCAAGCTTGGGTAAAAGCAATACCTAAAGCAAATGTAAATCCACTGCATGTCTGTGTTCTGTGTTTCCTAGTGTGGCAAGGAAGCATGAACTTAAGCATCTTAACCCAAGCTGAGCAGCAAAGTTAAACCTCTGCTCTGTTTTCAAAGATACTGTTGTTATATTCCAGAGCCAAGGGGCGATAACTGAGAAACTAAGAAGTTTCAGTATGCATGATTTGACTACTATCCAAGGGGATGAACCTGTAGGACAGAGACCCTACCAGACGTTACCAGAAGCAAAAAAGAAACCCAGAACCTCTGCAAGTGAATCTTCAGGTATGTATTTGTTTTTCTTCTGGAACCATTCACCCAAGACAAAAGTGGAAAAGCAGAAATACACTTACCCTGTTTCTAAATGGAAAAGGCCTCAAAGAATTCCAGTAAACTTAAACAGAGTTGACTTGAGTAAAATGCATTATGGCAGTTGAGAAATCCTCCCTGAACTATTTTCTTCCCATAACCACTCTCACTGTAGTCATACTGTACTCATTACTTGTGTCTTTGCCAATGGGCAGCAAGAATTCTTTGCCAAAGTAAAGCTTATGTGATTAGGTGGTGTTTCTGTGACAAATGTACAAAATGTTTAACATGAAAACTTAGGGAAGCTCAATAAATAGGAAGAGAAATCATGGAAATTAATTCACTAGGTCGGTAACAATAGATGAAAAGAAATTGCTTATGGTGACAGGAATGATGAAGGCATTAAGTTGTCCTAATGGACTCATGCCCTCAGCACTCAGAGGAGGCTGTGTGGTGACCAGTGTATGGTTTTGTTCAGAGATAGGTCATTACTATTTTATTCCATGTACTGTTATCATCATCACTTTGCTCTTGAGCCTGTGATGTTTGAGTGAAGGTTTGGTGCAAGGTTTTGGTGCAAGGCTGCCAACTGCACCTTTTGAAATGGTTAACCTGCAATGTGAAGGAGTTGGTATTTCCCACAGAAGTAACAGCTCTGGTTTATTTCTTCTCACCTGAGCCTGTCATTTCTCCTCATCCCTCCATTTCGGGGAGGGCTGGTGCTTGTGGGGTACAGGGAAGTCCATGAATGGTGTGGTAGCCCCTGGAGGAGTTGATGGCCAGCTGAGTGTCCCTGAGCTGAACAGCACATAGTACCCAGAAAGTATCCAGTGCAGGGCAGTGTGTGGACAGAGGCTCCTGCTGGAGAGAGAGAGAGCTAGGAATTTCTCAGGAGTTGCCTTAGGGATGGTGTCACTGCGGGTGCTTTGCAGGGGCTGTTTCTCAGTGAGAGAGCATTAGTTATCTGAAATAGCTTGAAAATGCTCTGCATTTCTTGTTGGTTTTTTTTAATGCACAGTTTATACTGTATAAACTATGCACTGATTGTGAGATTCAATCTCAAATGTCAGAATGCTTTCTTAGTGCTAGTTTAATTTACTTGTTTCTGCACCTGCACCCAAATCTGGCATATGCCTCTTCTGTTTTCTTTGACTTGTCTTCAGCATTAGAGACTTAAAAAAAGATCAAACTACAGTTACTGAAGATGACAGAAGAGGTAAGTCTGCCTGAAGTAGCTTAGGAGTCAGTGATGTGATTATGATTTCAGGAAAAAAAGAGAAATGAGGAAAAGTATCTAGTTAAGCCTAGATAAAATACTGGCTTAGGATGAAATGTGTGCTGGTCATCAATAAAGTTAGGTTTGGCCTTTAAAAGGTGTCCCTGAGTGTTACTGCCTGGAGGTTCTGGAATGTCCTACGAAAAGGATAGTTGGGCTGGGGGCAAGAGCCAGCCTGGTCTGGGGCTGTGCTGCAGGGCTCTGGTGGGGCCTGGGGCTGTGGGACCCCTGGGAGCTTTCCAGTGTGTTTGTGAGCAGTTTGCACCCTCTAGTGAGAGCTTCGGTAACTGTTTTCCCAGGATGTAACAGCACTTCACAGTGCTTTGACATTTTATCCATAGGATCATAGAATTTAGGGGTTGGAATGACCTTACAGATCACCTAGTCCCAACCCCTGCCCTGGGCAGGGACACCTCCTCACTAGATCAGGTTGCTCAAGGCTCATCCAGCCTGGCCTTGAACACTGCCAGGGTTGGGGCAGCCACCACATCCCTGGGCAACCTGGGACAGTGTCTCACCACCAGAACAGGAAAAAACTTTTTCTAATATCTAACCTAAACTTTCCATCCTTCAGTTTGAGCCCATTACCCTTTGTCCTATCACTGCAGTTCCTAACACAGAGTCCCTCTCCAGCTCCTTGTAGGCCCTTCAGAGATTGAAAAGTTGCTCTGAGGTCTCCACACAGTCTTCTCTTCTCCAGGCTGAACAGCCCCAACTCCCTCAGCCTGTCCTCATAGGGGAGATGCTCCAGTGCTCTTAGCAACTTTTATCAAACCAAGTGACTTGGTCCTTACAAATGGCAGAATTAGGGGTAACACGCTGCTGGCAAACTAGATGTTTTCCAGTTTTGACATACCTGGCAGACAGACTGTATCATTCGACAGAATAAATGATGTGTGTTGAAGATGAAACTCATGGCTTTCTTAGAAACCGAAGAGTTACAGCTACTTCTTAGTAAATGTTTTTATGAAACTTTTAAAGGTTACAAAACACCGTTGGAAAAAGGTCCTGGAGATGATAAAACGGACGAAGAGGTGGAAGGAACACATTCAGAGGACGAAATGTTTGCTCAGAGAGGCCTTCGGAGAACTCAGAGCATGAAATCTGTGAAAACTAAAGGTCGTAAAGAGGCAAGTGCAGTCCTGGCTCATTATTGCATTTGTTTTTCCAGTGTACTTTGGCATTTTTAATAGTGCAGAAATTAATTTTTATTCTTAATATGAGAAGGGTTATCAATCATAACTGATTTATAGAATGCTAAATGGAGAATGAAGTATGTGATAACAATATCTAAGGTTGGAGCTTTTGTACTTTGGGAGTGTTTAAGAGAAATACACGAATGAAATGAACTCAGCAAGGAACAAGGGAGAGGAGATGAAACAGACTGTGCTTGTAATGCTAATTCTGGCACCACCAAGCCCAAGTTCCAGGAGCTGCTCACTTTGGAAGGGGTATGGATAGAGGGATTGTCATCTGCATGTTGTGCACACTTAAAGATACGCTGTTTAATAGATTAAAGGAGATGAGATTTTTTTAGTTCCCATAGACATATGGGCTACTTTGACTTGTAATCCACAGACAGAAGATTCTAGGAAGGATTCCCAGTGTTTTATATTCGTGACATATTTGTATGGATAGACACAGGATAAATCTCTGTGGAGTCTCCTAAAAGTTTTCGGGTAATTCTGGGAAAATGGTTGAGACTTACTCTTCTTGTGCAGTTCTGTGGAGACTATATCTTACTCAGTGATTGGCAGATTCTCTTAGTAAAAAGCATCCAAAGCATATTTAAAGACGTTTGCCAGATTGAATCAGGGGAGAGGTAAATGTTTCTATGTGAAATTATCTCAACTTTTGGTTCAAATTTTTTTCCTCCCCAGATACGCTACGGATCACTGAAATACAGAGTGAAGAAGAGACCTGCTGTATACTTCTAATCGTATTGCACAATGCCTGCAAGACAAACTGCTGTATTCTAATAACTTGAATTCAGTGTGTCAAGTGTTCAAGATCTGTGTATGATTCATATCATGAGGATGTATAATGAGATACAGTGTGACTTGGTTTTGTGAACCTAAGTGATAGGAGAAAGTATTACTCTGCTTTTCTGTAATGGCTTATTGTTTAGACTTCCATCTGGACAAGCTGCAGTATGAATTTCAGCACTCCTTAAATGGGAGTTAAACAAGTAACAGAAAACAGCCTTTGCCAGAGGTACTGAACAGGCCTAAATAATTACAGCTCCAATTGAATTAGCAGAAGTTGTAAGTATTTGGAACTTGTGGAAACAGAACCCAAAGTGTCCCCAGGTTTACATGGAAAGATAGTTATACTTGAAACATTTTTCTGAACTACAATACCTGAAAAGGCCTTTGTGTAATTTTAAAATGTACAGTTTAAAGGACAGTGGATGATGGTGGGAAAGGAGGAAGAAAGATATGACAGATCCTTGACATCATCATCTTGCATTGTTTTGCCAAGCTTAAAAAATTTATGTAACATAATAGGTGCAAACTGGGAGTATGTTTAGCACTTTATGCAAAACTGTACAGTTTTGCACAGTCTTAAGGATTTACAACTGCACATGTCATTTTTGTGACTTGCTAATAGGTTAGAGTGACCTTTTAATGCCAGCAAATCTTGTATTTCCTGACCTATTAAAAATTATCTTGTTTGCTTAAGTACACTTAGGAAGCTGTACATATTTGCTACTAAGACTTTATATTATGAGGTGCCTTTCTAAGATTACAAGGCTATGTGGGTTTTGTGTGTGTGTAGTTTTTTTGGGGGGGTTATGGTTCGGGTTCTTTGTTGTTTATTTTGCGTCTGTCATCTTCTTTCACCGAGAGAGGTAGCACGATTTAAGTCAGTTTTTGGTAAAAATTGTGGTAAGTAATTCCAGTGCTAGACCTCAGGGATCTGATCAGCCCATCAGCTGTCTGTAGGAAGTCATGCCAACATGAAGGCATGTATGATAGATTAGTCAGGCCCTGGTTTGGTTTTGTTCTACATTGCTTTAAGAATGATATATATTTATGTTCTAGAACATGTATGTGTGTATATTTCATATCATATGTGGATTCTGAAATTGGCTGTGTAGTACTTTCTTTTATTGCTAGAGTTATGACTAAAATATTTGTTTATAAATAGCTTTTTATAAAAGCCTAGTTGATTTAGTCAGCCGTTTTATAACCTAGAGCCCTGTGGCATATCTGCACAAAGATCAATTTTGGAATGTCTTTCAAGGCAGGGAGTTGTCAAAATTGCATTTTTAGGTCCCATTTGGTTCTATTTTCTGAAATTCTGAGGTTTTAGTTTTCTGTGTGACTGTATTTCTGCTGTGGATTCAGGGAGAAACCACCCACTTGTTGCAGGTAGTATTTTATTAAATGTTCTGGGAAGAGATGGTGTTATTTTCTTGAAGACAAAATGTTTTGTGGTTCCTCTTATCTGTGGAGCTTGGACTCCAATCCTTAGACCTTCCCCCAGGTATTGACAGTCCATCTATAAGACTACTGCAACATATTAAACATATTCCTAAGGCTTGAGCCTGCTGCAGTTTATGTTACAGCTGTAGCAGTTCAGTGCTGGTAGGCACTTAATGGCCTGTTGGCATATCCTGGCAGCTGCAGTCATCTTCTGCAGACTTTGGGCCAGGGTTTGAGTTGTATGGATAAAAATGCAGCTTGTCTGTGTTGGCTCTGTGTTATTCCCTGACTGTGGTAGTGTGTGTGAACCAAGGTCAAAGCCATGGTCAAACACAGCAACGCTGATGACACAGTGCTTTTAGTACCTCTGAGGAAGTTACGTGTAAGGGAAAAGAAAGAAGTCCCAGCAGTGCATGTGTAATTAAAAGGCTAAAGCTTGTATTACTGTACTCAAAAGATACATTTTTCATACCAGAAGACAGGAAGACTGCTCTCTCCCAACTGGGGACAGTACAAAACTCTTTTTCTCTAACTAAAACTGCACCTTGTGATCCAGCTTTTGTAAGCAGCTGTTGTCTGTGTGTAGGGAGTGATCAGGAGGGCAGACTCCCTGGGCTGTGGGACATGGCTTCTGCCCCAGGAATGTTTGTGCTTCTCATCTGCTTCCCTGAGTGTAGGGAGAGGCTGGCTGTGTGTTAAGGTATGTAAGACTAGAGGAAACCGAAGCTTTCGTATTTGCTTCTAGCCCCTTTGTGAAAATCAGACTGACCTGGGCCTGGGGGTGGAACCTCTTAACTCTTTCTGTCCAGTTGAGCATCTTCCCTGAGCACTTACTGCCACATTTTGCTAGAACTCATTATGCTTGTTTTATCAGCAAACATGGCAATAAAACGATCATCTTTTGACAAATGCAAATCTTGCACAAAGGAGCAGGGCAAGCCCTTGGTTCAGAATTACAGTTCCTGCTCAGGTTCGTGTAGATCCTGTTTCGAGCACTGTGTTTTTAACACATTTCAAGGGCTAGAGATCATTGGAATATTTTAGGCTGCACCACACTCGTGTCAGTAAGTTGCCCTGTGTCTCTGTGTACCTGAGGCTGGAACTTCTGGCAGACTTAACTTGCTAACTCAGTAGTGACAAAGGTTAAATAAACTCTACTCTTTCTGAACCTTGCATGGAACCAGAAAAGCTGGCAGTATTACTTGTGGTCATTCCTGTTTGCATATAAATGTACTTGTGTGCTCTCAGATACTGTCTTAAGTGATGAAACTCCTAGTATTTTCCTAGTTGTTCTGTTCAGTCTAATATCCTGCTGCAAAATTTTTGTTTTGATAGCTTGATTTTGCTCTTTGAATTCATCCTGAAACTGGTTCACTGCATGATCTTAATTTTTTTCCTCACTGGTTGTTGTCAGCTGATGCTTGGCAGGGCCCAATGGCATGATTAGCTTCCATCCAATGATACCTATTTTTTGCTGCTTGTTGAATTTAGTTCAGTTTGATTTTGAAACACTATCTTTTAAACTTTGTGTATAGGGAGTTTTAAAACTTTTCTTGCCTTAGCAGCTGCAAAAGTTATCTGTCTAGCTCTTGCCAGTAAACCTCTTGGAAAAAATGTTAAAAATCAACATTTAACTTCATATTCTTTTTGGTTTTGGAAAGTATCTAATTTGACATGAACTACATTGTAATCTTCTGAACGAAGACTTTCCTGAGAACTGACTGACTGCCACCAACAGGACTGTGCAAGTGTGGTTAACGAAACACTTAGGTAGAGGTTAAAGGTGCTTTAAAAAAGAATATGTATTTGTTTGAATCACATCAAGGTTTCAAGCCTTTCCAAAATGTGTCTGAACTGGCTCAGATGACTTAGCAAGAGTCTACTGTACATGTTGAAATACCCAGTGTGAGATGAGGGTTAAATCAGGGGCCTCAGCTGCAAACAAGCTTAGGCCAGGCCCTGATGCTGGATGCATTTAACATGCTGTTCATGACAAAAATGTGGTTTATTTTTGGTGTTGCTTTTATTAATGGGAAGTTGGTATTTGTAAGTATTTTTCTACAAAAATATGTATGTACAAAAGCAATACTTTAACACTTTTCAAGAACTTGTATTTTTAAACACTTACAGACCAGAAACTGGCTACATTTGGACTGTAGTAGCTTTAAAAAAAGCAAAAACAACGTAAGCTTTAATTTTTATATTGTAATAATAACTTGCTGTCAACTTGTTTACATATTTGTAGGAGGGAAAGCTTCATTATGCATTGACTTATCTTGATACTATCTTTAATAAATGCTGCTTTGAGCAGGATGCAGTGGATATTTTATTACCTGAACTATGACTAACTGTATATAATCTGTACTGTACTATTTATTATACTGGTTCCAGCACCAAACCCAACCTATCAGACCTTTGGAGATACTTATGAAACTGTTGGATGACTAAACTGCCCATGAGGTGCTGCCATGGACCCTGTAGGTAATTTAGGCTGAAATGAGACTTACCCTGCTAAAGGCAACTTGAAAATGCTCTGGTGTTACCTGTTTTGATTAGATGTTCTGTTCAGAGCAAATTCAAATTGAGATGCGTAGAGTCCTGCAAGAGTGTGGCTTCCTGGGGAACTGCTGGGCAGCAGGTTGATTTTTGCTTTGTATTTCCTAGTCAGAGTTCTTCTGGTAGCCCAGAGAAGGAGATGCATAGCTGAACTTGGGTCTTTCCTTTTTTCCAACCTCCCCTCAAGTAAGCTGTTAGCACCCCTACCAAAACCCAAGCAAAAAAGCTCAGCACCTGCATTTTCTGGACCTGGTTTGCAAGGCTTCCTGATTTTCAAATGAAACAAATTCTGGTTATTGTTAATTGGGGAGAAGGACTTGGGAGACAGTAGCAATAAATAGTCTTTATGCATTCTGAAAATCTATCCCAGAAGCACAGACAGACTGTAAGGGACCCTGCAGCGATTCGTTTCCTCGTGTCACAACAGTTCATGCAGTGTGAACCCTCTGCCTACTGAAGAAATTGTAGATGTCAGAACAGTGCTGACTTTTGTTGTTTATCTGTTCAGCTGGTAGCAGGAACATTTGTGAATGTGGGCTAGAAGCTGTTTTCCTGCTGTTGAACATGATGCTGATGAAACTCACTCAGGGAATCATTATCCTGTGAGTCTAAAATAGCGCTGGTATGTACTATTAGACTAAAATCTTAAAGATGAAGCAGATGCAGCAGCAATGGTGGCAATTTTTTGAGGACTTCTTTTTTTTAAAATACCTTGGGCATTGTGTATTTTCCACATTAATGTGGGAAAACAGATGTTTGAATATGAGGGGAAACCTAACAGGTCCTGTAAAATCAACAGACTTGCAAAATTAGTTTCATTTTTTCTGCAGATGTATTCAGGAGTAGACTGCCTGTCGTATGTCTGCCTGCCTTTGCCAAGGTTCAGCAACAGATTGCTCAGTCTGAATTGGGATAGGAATCATGAAAGCAGCTGGAGCATAGACTACAAGGAC